GAGAGCTGATCTGCTAACTCAAAGAATAAAGACTCCTAACAACACACCAAAAGCATGTGAGACAGTCTCACCATTCTCACTTCTAAGGCTGTAACTCTTCTAAGACAAATTCATTCATTCTTTCAGCAATCCGTGGTATACTGAGTGTTCTTAGCCAATGTTAAAATTCAAAGAAACCACCATAGTTTTCCCATATTATGCAACAAGAATACTCCTATTTATCTAAATGAGTTTAAAACTTATGTCCATATGAAAATTTGCACACTAATTAGTTCTGTTCATTAGATGTCCTTTAACAGATGAATGTACAAACAAGCAATGATATATCCACAGAATGGTATATTATTCAGCTATCAATAAAAAAAAGAAGCGAAAATTTAAAAGCCACACTGCTAAATAAATAAATTTGCAAAATTTCCATTATTATATGATTCTAATTATATGACATTCTAAACAAAGCTATCTATAGAGAAAGCAGAAAGGTCAGTGTTTATCAGAGGACAGAGTTATGCTGAAGTTACATAGGGTAAAACATCATATTTAGGACAGTGAAACTATTCTGTATGACACTGTAATGGTGGATAAATGGCATCATGCACTTCACAAAATCTAAATCCCACAGGGATGCAGAACACAAAGAATAAACCTCAAATAAATTTGGATCTTAAGTTAATAATATTGGGCCAGCATTACTTCATCAGTTTTTACAAAGATACCACAGGATTAACAAAGTCTTATGGTGTACCTGACACAGGCCATGGTCTCTGAAATTACCTGATATTCATCAGAAAGCTGGACAATGACTAGCGATGATAGAAGGAAAATTGATGCCTTTGAGCTGTGATGCTGGATAAGAGTGCTAAATATCCCATGGACAGCTAAGAAAACAAATAGGTTTGTCCTAGAGAAGGCGAAACCAGGCTGCTCCTTAAATGTAAAGGTTCTGAAGGTTCATGTGACTGACCTACTTTGCACATGTTGCAAGGTGGGACCAGTCCTTAGAAAGGGATGTCATGCTTGGGAGAGTAGAGGGACAGCACAGGAGAGGAAGACTCTTGATGAGATGGATTAATTCAGTGACTGGGATAATTGGGGGGGGCAGTAATGTGTCAGAGGCAGTAAAATTGGCACAGGACAGAGCAGGGTTTAGGGCTGTTGTATGTAGGGTCACTATGAGTCGCAGGCAACTCGACAGCACATAACACAATAGTATGTACTTTCTGCTCAACATTTCTGTAAAACTAAAACTTCTTTAAAATTTTTTTATTATTTTTTAAATTCTGTAACAATAAGCTTTGTTATGACAAGCTTTCATATAAATACTGAATAGTCATTCTAATTCTCAGTATTTTACTAATTTTGGCTATATATGTATCTATGTACTTGTTATTACATAACATTAACGTTATAATATAAACTTAGCTGCACTATACACCAGTGGGTTTATGAGGAACAACACATGATTAGGATTGGAGAAACACTTTATTGATAACCTGTGATATGCAGATGGCACATCCTGGCTTGCTGAAACTGAAGAAGACTTGAAGCACTTACTGATGAAGATCAAAAACTGCAGCCTTCAGTATGGATTACATCTAAACAAAAAGAAAATAAAAATCCTCACAACTGGACCAATAAGCAACATCATGATTAATGGAGAAAATACTGAAGTTGTCAAGGATTTCATTTTACTTGGCCACAATCAATAGCCATAGAAGCAGCAGTCATGAAATCAGATGATTTGCATTGGACAAAAGATTTTCATGTTACAAAAGTCCTTTTCAAAATATTACAAAGAAAAGATATGATTACTTTATGTTGTGTCTGACCCACATCATGGTATTTTCAATCATTTCATAACCATGAGAAAGCTGGACAATGAAGAGGAAAGAATAAAGAACAACTGATACATCTGAATTATGATACAGACAAAGAATATTAAATATACCATGGACTGCTTATAGGGAGTTTCCCTGCTATCCCAAAAGCTGTGCCTACCTAGTGTTTTGAATTCACCAGCAGTTCTGTGATAGGAAGATGGCCAATCTCTTCCTGTGCAATTCACAGTCCCTTGGAAACTCAACTGAAGCGGGGAGGGAGACAGAGAGAAAGACAGACACACAGACAGTACGGAAGGGAGGGACAGAGGCAAAGGGTGGAGGGGAGAGAGCAAGAGCGAGCGAGCAAGTAAGAGACAGCGAGAAAAAGAGAGACAGCAAGAGAGAAAAAGAGAGGGGGGAGAAAGGGAGGGAGGAAGAGAGAGAAAGAATGCACGTCTGCTTTGGAAGAAATGCAGTCACAATGCTCATTTGAAGCAAGCCTGGAAAAAAACTATCCCATGTACTTTTGACACGCTATCAGAAGGACCAGTCCAGGGAGGAGGACATCATGGGGTAACAGAGGGGTCAAGCAAAGAAAAGGAGGAAGATGCTCAATGAAATGAATTGACACACTGGCTATGACTATGGATTCAAACAGCATAGCAATGATTGTGAGGATGGTGTAAAACCAGGCAGTGCTTGGTTCTGCTGTGTACCATGTTGCTCTAAGTCAGAACTGCGTTAAAGGCACCCAACAAGATGCTCTCCTAGGCAGCAGATTTACCTATTTTAATATATCCCTCAGATAGGGAACTCATTACCAGAGCTTTTATATGTTGCATGGTTCGGTGCCATCCAGGTGTTCTGTAACAGTACTACAAGCAATCCTGTGCCATCCTCACGATCTCTGCTGTGCTTAAGCCCCTGTGTCAATCCACCTCACTGAAGCTATTCCTCTTTTTTGCTCTTTACTTTTACAAATCATGATGTCCTTCTCTAGGACTGGCCCCCTCTTAACAACACACAAAAAGTATATGAGTCAAAGTGTTACCATTCATTTCTAAAAAGCACTTTGGCTACACTTCTTCCAAAATAGATTTGCTTTTTCTTTGGGTCATCCATAGTATATTCAATACTCATTGTTAATAGCACAATTCAAAGGTATCCATTCTTTTTTGGTTTTCTTTATTCAGTATTCAACTTTCGCATTCGTATGGAGCAACTGAAAGTACTATAGCTCAGGACACACACAACTTAAACTGACATCTCTGTTCTTAGCACTCTAAAGATGCCTGTAGCAACAGATACATATCATTTGATTTCCTGACTGCTGCTTCTGTGAGTGTTGACTATGGATTCAAGTAAAATGAAATCCTTCTCAACTTCAACCTTTTCACCATTTACCAAGAGGTTGCTCATTGGTCTAGTTGTGAGATTTTAAAAATTTTCTACATGTTGAAGAGTAATCATTGCTGAAAGCTACCGTCTTTGAGCATCACTTCTTGCTTTCTGAAAACAAGGCTGTGTCATCTGCATATCAAAGATTGTTGATGAGCCTTCCTCCAATCCTGATGCCACATTTTGTAGTAGTCCAGCTTTCCAGATTATTTGCTCAGCACACAAACTGAGTAGGTATGTGAAAGAATTCAGTTCTAACGCACACTTTTGCTGATTTTTAAACAATACAGTATACTTTTGTTTTGTCTGAATGACAGGGTTTTTTTTTTGTCTAAGATTCCATACAAACACAATAAATTTTCTACAATTCACATTCTTCTCAATCTTATCCATAATTTATTATGATCCACACAGTCAAATGCCTTTGCATAATCAAGAAAACATAAACAAAAATCTTACTGATATTGTTTTTAACCAAGATCCACATGATGTCAGCATTGATTTTCCTTGCTTTACATCAATTCTTCTAAATCAAGTTTGACCTTCTATATGTTCCAGACAATGTATTCTTCTCATTGTTTTTACCTCAGCAAGATTTTACTTGTACATGAAATTAATACTTTGTATCATTTCATTCTGTTGGATTATAATTTTTTTCCTTGAAAAAAAAATGAGCACAAATACGAATTTCTTCCAATTTGTTGACCCTCCAAATTTGAGTTAGGATGTTCAGAGCAGAAATCTGTTGAAGTATCTCCACTTTTGCTGTCTTCAGTATCATTGGTTCTTAATCATATGAAATTTCCTGAAATGGCAGAGGACTGACCAATTGTTTTTGGTACAGTGACTTTGTATATTTCATCTTTTCTTGATGCTCTGTGTGTCACTGAATATTTTGTCCATAGAATCCTTTACTCTTGCAATTAAAAGTTTGCATCCTTTCTTCAGGACTTTTAGTTTGAGAAATGCCAAATGTGCTCTTCATTATTAAAGCCAGAGAGAACTTGACATCCAACTCAGTGTTTCTCAATTCTTTAGCCCCTTTGGGAATCTTTTAAGACTCCCTCCTGCCCCCAACTATCTCCTCTTTACAAAAGCTTTTAATACTAAATTGATACCGTATCTTTATGACTGTTAGGTGTACCCTTCTTTATACAGAAAAGATTTTGCTGCTTTCAAAAACCAATTTGTTCCCTGTTAGAAATCATCTCATTTTCCAAGATATTTAGAACAACCCAAACCCAACCCTCTAAGCAACCTCACAGGATTTTTTGTTCTTTAAAATGACAAACCAGTTAAAAAATTACTGAACCATTAAACTACTAGTCATATGGATTAAACAATTCAAGATAACTATTGTTATCGTTTGAGTATTTTAGTTTCACAAGAGGACAAGCATGTCAGTGTAACCTAAATCAGTCAATTTTGTGTTTTCATAACTCAATCTGATCCTATGAAAGTTGAAATGAACAGCTAAAATTAATTTTTATTCATTTAGAAAAAATAATTCTATCTACTTCACCAACTGGTGAATTTTATGCTTTTAAAATTCAGAATTAAGAACAAACAAAAAATTAACTAAAAAAATAAAACCTCAAAATCTAGTACAAGAAAAAATTTCTAGAATAGAAATTCAAGTTCTCATTACAGTTTAAAAAATTATTTACTGTGTTTACCTTTGTTGATGTGAAAATGATTACATGTTTCCCTTTTAATTCCTGGGCACATATTTAACTTTGAGGTTATTTTAGACTAAGTAATTTGGTTTATTAAAATTCTTACCAGTTCTATCATACGACTCATGACAGGTACGTGCAATTTCTGCTCCAAGTTCTAAATAATGTCCAGCTTTATCCATTCTGGAACCATCTGCTCCCAGTGCAAACATTCCCCCTGCAAAGCAAGCCAAATGCCCCATCTTCTTTTCCAAGTGACCATTCTTCCATTCTCCAATAAAGGTAAGACCTCCACGAGACTTCTTAATAAGATGTTTTTCTATAGCCTATAATAAGAAAACATTGATTTTTCAAAATGTTAGAAGCAAACAAAGGGTATTTAAACTTCCTGTACCCTTTCAAATATAGTAATATGTCAGTAATAAGATAAGGAGCACTGGTGACATAGTAAATAATGTGTCAAGCTGCTAAACAACAATCAGCAGTTGGAACCCACTGAGAGTTTTGCAGGTGAAAGACAGGCAGCCTCTTTCCATAAGATTTACAGCCTTGGGAACTCGATGGAGGACTGCTTTGAGTTAGACTCAATTCACTGATAATGGGTTGGGTTTGGTAATAACATTCTGCACTGAAGTATCTTTTCTAGAGACAATTAGATATTTGCTATTGTTAGGTGTCACAGAGTTGACTACTACTCACAGAGATCCGATGAACAATATATCAAAACTCTGTCTGCCTGGTTCTGCACTATCCTTATAATTTCTCAATTATTATGCTCAAGCTAACTGTTAATCAAGTTGATTGTTGTTAATAAGTTCTAGAGGTTGTATCTAAGCTTCCTATGACCTAAATTGAATACAATGATCTCTATTATAACAACACAGGATGAAAATGAGACTTAGTTAAAGATTACCTTTCTGTAAGATAAATCTACATACATACATACATACATACATACAATGTTGTTATTGTTGTTAAGTGGCATCAAGATGTAGACAACTCAGAGTGACCCTATAAACGAAATACCTAAACACCTATATAACTTTCACTGTTTCTCCAAGTTCATAGAGCTTCCGGAGGCAAGCTATTTCGGAAGTGGATGCCACTCCTGCTTTCAAGTTTGTATTAATCAGGGAGCTTCACCAAACACTGTCCACCATGGGTAACCATTATCGAATCTGACACATCAGTGTCACAGTGTTTAGTATCACAGCAACTATGAGTTACCTCTTTACAGCATATGGATAGCCCAGTGTTATACCACTTAGAAGAATGTTTGACCAAAAACAAAATCAGGCCTGAGGATCACGGATTACTTGTCAATTTGATGATACTAATTACAAGTTTTATCTTCTTGATATAAAGGAAATGCTTAATAGTCAACTGAGATCATAATGTTAAGTTATAACCTATCACTTTATAACTTATCACATAAAACAAAATCTGAATAGCAGAAATACCTAGGATGATAAAAAAATTCTAATTAACTCAAATATTCCATGTTACTTTGCCACTTCACAAAATAACTGACAAAGGTACCAGGAGGTGGTGCCAAATCTAGTTGGAAATTATTTTTTCTCAAATTGAGGCATTTCTTTTGGATTCTGTGTCATGAAAAAGAAAAGAAAACAATCTATATAATTTAGAAAATGCTTCTATTCCTCTTGTCATTATCAAATACTCACATTTTATGTTAAAATATATATAAAAAGAACATGAAGTAGCTAATAACATTTATCTCTCATTTTAAAGGTGAAACTTTTAGGGCTCTATCCCTTTGGATACAACCAAGAGACACTCTATTCTAGGTATATCCTTTTCTCCATATATATTACATTTGTATACTGAGCAAATTATTTGTGAAATTGGACTATATCTAGAAGAATGTGGCCTCAGAATTGGAGGAAGACCATCAATAACCCATGGTATGCAGATGATACAATTTCACTTGCAGAAACTGAAAAAGACTTGAAGCACTTACTAAAGATATAAAGGCCTTCAATTGAGAGTAAACATCAAGAAAACAAAAATCTTCATCATTCAATAGGCAACACCATGATAAATGGAGAAAAGACTGAAGTTGCCAATAATTTCATTGCACTTGGATACACAATCAATACTCTGGTAATGGCAGTCAAGAAATCAAAATACATGTTTTTGAAAATATGCTGTCAAGGACTTTTCTGAAGTGCTAAAGAGCAAAGATGTCAATTTAAAGATCAAGGTCTTGAACCCTGATCCAAGCCATGGTATTTTAAATTGCTTAGTATACTTCTCAAAGTTGGACAGTGAATGAGGAAAATCAAGTAACTGATGCCTTTGAATCGTGTTGTTGGTGAATACTAAATGCATGGTCTATCAAAAGAACAAACAAATCGGTTATGGAAGAAGTTCAACTAGAGTGCT